AAGAAAACAAAGATGGGATTTCAGCGTTTTTAACACACGTGTGAGGAGAAAACTTTTTTTCTCAGCTCATATTAACTGTAACAATCTAATAACATGAATTATCTGCAAGGAATGTTAAGCCTTTTCAAAAATAACAGTGTTATCCACCCATGGGAAAATGATAGATACAGATAAAAATACAGGTGAAGATGCTGTAACTTTTCTTTAAACTTACTCATACAGAAATGTGACCCTTTTGTTCCTGTTTGTTTTCATTCCTACACAAAGAAGTTTACACAGTTGTAAAAGAAAGAAAGAGGAAGTTCTTTCTGGAAGTTCAACAACATGATCAAACTGAAACTAGACACCAAGAGAAATTCATGTACATGGGTGAAGAGACAACACTTGAGGAATTCTAAAAGTAATTTGAATGACTTCCTGCCAACATCCCATAGAACCTGTTCTTTAGATTTGAAGCACCAAATAAAAGAGTGGAGCTAGCTGCCAGCCAACAACACTTCATTCTTTAGCACAAGCTTTCTTAAAAAAGTGTCAAAAGCAAATTGAACATATGTTAGGGTGAATTATTTTAAATAATGTTATCTTTGAAAAACCACCCAGAATGGTCTACTGTCCTCAATACAAACTGCGAAGAACTAGGATAACCTTTTGGCTCATCGTTGAGCCGTAAGTAAAAGGTAAAAACAGACCAAGACAATGCTCACCTTAGACTCCAGAAAGAAGCCTCTGAAATATCTGTACTGGCAAACCACTCCTGTAGGTACGCTAACTGTTGCAGTCCATGTACCCCTGTGAGAAAAGGACACTGACACCAATACTTTAGAATGAATGGGTAATATTTGAGACATCAAACCTTAACTTCCACCTACCCATCATTAGCATCAGGATGCAAGGTGACAGCTTTCTTATGGCTCCAATTTCCCAGGGCTTCACAGCTCCCAACGGCAGCAATCACCTCACCTAGAAATGTTCAAAACTGACCTGAAGCCACTTTAAAACAAAAAACAAAATACATTTGTGAAACACGGTGCCTATGTTTCTAATGTGTTGACCTTCTTGTATGCGTCCACTAAAGATGGAAAAACTATTAGTTAATTCATTAAAAACACATTCATAATCCCAAGTATTATAAGAGTTTAGTAAAAAAAAAAAGGTGCTGTCTCCTTTGTGGTTAATAGCATTTGGTCAGAACAGTAGAAGGACATACCGAGGGACGTTTCACCTCTGACAACCAGGGTCACCTGGGTGCTCTCCATGGTGGACATGACCACAGATTGGCTTCAGGAACAAGCTGGAAAAACATGCAATGTTAAGTGTGTAGGAATGTGTGACACACAGTGGTTAGACAACAGGTTATTATTATTATTATTACCAACATAGAATTACTTTGCTCCTGAACACGTAGGCATGTTGATAATATATTTAGCTATATATATGGTGTTTCCTTCTCCTTTTCACAAACTTTTTTGCACAACAAGTAGCATGTTGCTTCTGCCATTATTATCTAGTACCTGTGTATCCAGCCTGTTGCTACAAAAATAGTTATTTTTGAAATGCTCTTCTGGCAAATAACTGGTCATTGTGAGTACTGTACAGTGGCGATCGTGGCGTTTTACTGTTGTTGCCGTTCATATTGTAGCCTTAATGTCTTCCTCTCCCCGTTGACTCAACTTTATCTCCTCTTCCCGAAAAAATGTTCTGTTAAGGTTCGCCGTCTGATTGTGACTAACGTAGCGAAATATTACGTGATCAAATGAAATATATTCCTGTAGCGAACCCTCACATGCCTTTGACCCTTGCTTATTTATAATGTAAATCATGACATTCCTTTGAAGCACGACTGGTCAAAGATTCTCACGCTGATCTGCTGCTCGCGGCGTTACAGTTAATAGACACATATCAAACTAAGTAAATGTAACGAAAACATTCATAAAGGAATAAACTAAACCAACTGACCTTTTTTGGCAGGACTGCTTCCACAACCGAGGATTCGCAGAGAAAACAGGAGAAACAAGTTTACATCTCACCACAAGGAAACATCAGCCCTTCGTTAGCCCTCCCCGTCCTGATCTGTAAAACTTATCAAACTACCCTATTTGTTTTTAATATAATATGTCATAAACTGACCGATCAAATACAGGAATATTTCACCTGACCCCGGAATGTAATCAAGCTAGTAGCTAAAAGCCTCCAGGGAGACCATGGAGGAACAAGTACCGCTACACCAGCAAGAATTAAAATGTAAATATAACGGGACTTCCTGTAAGACTTTTCAAAGTAAAGGTGTGTCGCGTTAAGCATTTACTAATTTGCGGTATATAATAAATAAAACATCAGCAACAATCACAATAACAATTAATCAATCATACTGAGTATTAACATTTTATTGTGAACATTCTGAAACAATTTTTCGTTTTACAAATGTATGGTGCACTAATTGATATTTTAAACATTTATTTCTTATTTATCGATTAAATGTTTACATTTACCTAAACCGTTGCATTGTTATTTAAACTGTTCTTCATTTTTTCAATACTTTTATTTTAAAAACGTGTTTCCGTACCTTACTCTCTGCTTGACATGGCTGGTTTATTCCGCTTTCGTCCGGAAATTGAGGTCTGTGCAGTCAGCTGTGCTACATTCACGTACATCAGGAGAACCACCCTGACGTTATCAAAACTGGTGATTTCCGTAAAATGTAGTAACAAGTAAATTTCCACACTGTCCGTGTGAAACGAGGTTCAAGAGATGTTTCCTAGTAAATTATGACTATCGATTATAACTAATCCACGTGTTTACTTCACAAAAGGGAAGCGCATACAGAAGCTTAAGCAGTAACGAGTCATTTGAAACGCCACACGTGGCGTTTGTTTACATCCCGTGTCAGTTTTCCACACGAAATAACACATTTAGAATATCCCAGCGCATATTAATTTATATATAACAGGTGGAGGGCTTCTAGTAACTGGACAAAAATAATTAAATAAAAACATTGCAGCGTCTACTTTCCTTTTCACACAAGCCCAAATCCATTGGAAAGTTTGTGTGTAGCGTTATCTAGTGGTCAAAAGAGAACATCGGAACATGGCACTGCAAAGAAAGGAGTGTGACAAACATTGCAGTAAAATGTGAACATTATCGCACTTCGTCAGATATTGAACCATCTGGACCTTCTAGCGTTCAACTGCAGTGCCTCGTGTCTGAAATGCAATTTGCATTTAAAAGCGGCGCAGTAGAATCCTGGAGGCAGAGGAGGCAAAGAACAAAGTTTAGGTGTTAAGATGTTAGATGTTTTAGCAAAAAACATTCCTAAATACCCTGCCATTACCTCACGTCTGACTTTAGAACACAACGCCTGCACACACTGCAGAAAAAGAAGCTGTGGTGTTACATTAATAGAAAATGAAGAGAAAGGGGGGAATCGTGAATGGAAGTCATGGAAATATGATGATACTGCAGTATTATAAATAGTTATATTATGAATATATGTAGAATTCAGACATATTTAAAACAGTTAACACAAAGTGAGCATATACAGTACATACATCAGAGTAATTTGTAATCCAGTCAGTTCTGCGACAAATGTTTCAAGGTCTTTAAGAACTAATGGCCTCTGGTATGGACTCCAGTCTGTACTAATTATGGCTGTATAGAGTCAAACAGTATTTGCTTTATTTTCACATTTGCTGTGTAAACAGTATTTGCTTTATTTTCACATTTTTATTACATGAATATAGGGATTTCTCTCCCAGCAGGCATGAAGACGTATTAAACCTGACTGCAGGTTTTAAAGAAACAGTCCTACGGTGAAAAACTGGACAGTAGCTGTATACATAGAATATTTACAATATGTCTGAATGAATCCATTAGCAGGAGCGTGCAGAGAACTGTTGCCTGCAGTACAGAAGCACATACTGGTCATAGATATCTTCCCCCTGCAGACATGTTTTCTCCCTCTCTATCTTCTACAACACCATCAGCAATGATACCTGTCAGAAAGATTAAGGTGCTAGTTGAATGTTTGCAAGGATTCATAAAAGACCCAATTATGCTCTTAGAAACGAAACAAGCAGTGAAAATATAACGTAGAGTTTAAACATTAAAAAAAAAATCCTCAAGGCATAAAAAGGAGAAAAACAAACTGTCTGAAAAACCGAAACTGTCACTAGTGGGCAGTAACGATGATGTCATTGTTAGTTCAGTCCACTGAAATGCAAATTGGAGGCAGGCATCTATTTAAAACTCTAACCTTGGAAACATGAAATACTTTCCAGAGAAAAGACAAATTAAAAATAACATTTTTTGGGTTAACCCTTAGCACACTGTCATCTTCCTGAAATACAATACAAACAGGCCTGGAGAGATGACGCAAGTTTTATCGATGTCTGCATTTGAAAGAGGAAACACAGTAACAGCTTTAAGTGCTGCTACTGCTGCTCTTTGTTTTCGAGTACCTGTCAGTATCACTGTGGAGACGGCACTGAGGGAGGATAAATATACCTACAGGCTAAATTTAATTTCCTTTGGAAGAGAAGAATAAATAGAACGCTATTCTTTATCACCTATTTATCTCCTAAACAATAGTTCAACATAGAAATGATTAAACTGAAATAACATTTTCTCACCACAAAGTTGAATGTTTAAGTTTATAAAACATTACCTCACTACACATTTGATTTGGCATATGTCAAAAATTGTGCTGATCTGAAATACTTATTAGGTTTTCGCACTAGTTGAAGTATCTTCTGTAGTTATTTACCAAGCCACTGGGTCTGCTGTGCTTATTCCACTGACTTCTTGGCGACGTCGTACTTGGTTTTGTTTCCATTCTGTGGGCAGAAAGGCACGTAGCGAACCCAAGACCGAGATGCCAGGCAGGAGGTAATGCCGAAGGGAAGGTTGTACACATCTGTTAACAAGGTGCTGTCGGAGTCTTCGTGAAGTGTTGTATCAGAGGATGAAAGGCCACGTTCTCGCTTGGTGCCTACATATATAGATGTATTTAAAATATAAAAGACATTTAAAATGCAGTAATGTTTTGTTTTATTTCATTTACATTGGTGATTACTGTCTAAGATTCTCTAAACTTACTATTTTATGCACCAAAATATTTGGTTTTGTTCAGCACAATACATTAATTAATGTATTTTTTTGGACCATTTATCACAGTGTCAATACACAGTGTTAATAGAAGGATAATTATCTATTATCTTATTTGACATAAGTGCAGTGTAAATACGTCCAACCAGAAAATCTGTGGTAAACAACCTCACCGGGATGACATTTTTATTTTTACATCAGCAAGTTGTTCATTTCCAAGAGTCAGTTGCTTTAGGGTTTAAAAAAAAGGAAGGGAATACTGGGAGAGTGACTGACAAACTGTAAAACCCATAACATTATTAATAACACTTCAATTCAAAGTACTGCACAGTGACACAATATTTATATGGCCCCTCTTACCCTGGGGCTACGACAACAGCTGTCAGTAATGCTCATATTCAAGCAATGCCAGTGTGATATAATGGAAATAATAGACCAGCTCACACCAGAATTGTGGTAGCCCAGCCATGTTTGTTTTCGCCATATTTGTTTTTCTGTAGTGACTGAGTCTGGTTTTAAAATGTCAGGATTTCTTATTTAAGTGAATAGAAGAACCAGGGAACTTGACTTGTTTGTAGTTTCAAATAACTTAAGGTAATCTGAAAAAACAGACAACCTACAACAACAGTTCAGGATGAAGCATTAGCTAGCATTACCTGGAATGGTATTATCAAGGAAGAACCCGAGGAACCCTCCAACAAACATGTGTGTGGTAAGCAGTACACGCAAGACTTGGTCCAACTCAGTCACACCTGCCGCAGGACACGACAGACATCAGAAAACAAAGAAGAAAAAAAAGACATCTAGTTCAGGGTCTTCAAAAACATCATGATCTAAAGTATAAAGGAAAATGGAACATGTACCTGTTTTTAAGGAATCAGGATTGTTCCTTAACCAATTTGGGATGGTGAGTGCAGTAAATATAGAAAAACCAAACACAAAGATATTCCTGGTGGAGTTCATGTATGTGTGCTGAAAAAAGTAGTAAACATGTTAAGAATGTATTAAATACAATTTAATAATAAAAAAAACAATACTGTTTTACCTGTAAATTGGAAATTCCTGTGGCAGCAATAACTCCAAACATGACTGGAAACATTCCACCAATCACAGGGGTGGGAATGGTTGCAAAAATAGCTCCAATTTTACCCAGTATCCCCATCAAAATCATACAAACTCCACTGAAGAAAATCACAGCTCGACTGCCCACCTGTCAAAAACAAGATCACACAGAGGTTGGTGGATACATAAAAACCAAGAATTTAAGTGATTCCACTAGCACTTGATGTTGATGTTACAAAAGTTCTACAATTTTTTTCCATCAAGCTTTACCTTTGTTATACCAAGGGCTGCCACATTCTCACTGTATGAGGTCGTTCCATTGCCAGTACCGAAAGCCCCGGCCAGCAAACATCCAATCCCCTCCACACCGATACCACGACTGATGGCGTGTTTAGGGGGCGGAGGTGCTCCTGACAGCTTGGCACATGCGTAGTAGTCACCCACAGACTCCGCCATGGAGCATATGACTCCAGCCATGATGCTAAGCACAGCGGCCAGGCTAACCGTTGGCACCCCCCACTGACCTGGAGGACAAGTTGGAGGAATACTGGGACAGTCCGACACAAAACATCTCCTGGGAATTGTTGTTACTCCTGGTATTCTTACCAGGATAAGGAAATGTAACCCAGGGGGCCTCAGAGATTACATCACCCTTCACATCAGTACGAGCCAGGTGGCCATACTGGGTAGGATCAGATGGTAGGACATCGAGGACGGTCAGGATGTAGCAGACCAACCATGACACAGAAATCCCTAGAAGAATCTAGTGTTGTGTTCATGACAAGAAAAAAAGCATAAATTATTATATACATTTAAAAAAATCTGATCCAAAATATGTGGTATAGTATACATATCAATCTACCAACACATACAGGCATGGTCTGGAAGATATAGAGCTTGGAGAAGTGCAGTTTCTTGGTTTTACTGTAGATGGGGACAGGGATGGGCACAGAGCGCAGGTACTGGGAGAACAAGATGATCAGCACCATGGTCCTGTGGGTATGAGGAGCTGTTCTTAGCAGTGTAGGACACTTTATCCACAGAGAAGTGGGAATTGTTGAATTTAAATGTTTAAAACTACATTCTGCAGATTTTAGTTTGCAATAAAAACCACAGCCTCCCAGGAGCTAAGGCCTGTTAAAACAGAAAATGTTTTCTCTCCTATTTTATTTCCCACCCAACGGTTGGAGTGTACAGCACATACATAACAGCGATGCCCCAGTGGCTGCCAGCCGTGACTCCAGCTGCATCATACAGTGACAGGCCAATTAGGAAAATGGTGGGAGAGATGGTTAATGGACCAACGAAGCGCATCAGGAAACCGATGATGCCAGAGAAGCCAACAAGCATCTGGAGGAGCGAGGCCACCATGATGGAGCCTTGCAACTGACAAACACAATAATGGAGAAAATCAGCATCATTATTCTTCATTTGACTGAGAAAAACAAACATGTTATCATTTTTGGTATAAAAAAAAATCAAGTATTCATGGGGATGTTAATGTCAGATTTAGCGTCTATATTTCATCATACCACCTTAACACCAGAAGCAGTTAGTGTCTTACTGTTCTCATACGCGTCTGCCACACTTCCACAAAGACTGGAGAGGAGGTGTTGACCAGACTGGCATTCTGGGTCCAGGCTGGACACTGCCATTCTGGCATAGACAACATGGCCATGGAAGGTGTCAGTAATGCAAATGAGCTGCCCTGTAGAATGGGGAGTCTACAGAAACAAAGACAAAACTAGTTTGTTTTTTTTAAAAAAAGAAAACAAAAACCCTTTCCCTAATTAAACGTGTTTTCACCTGATGCCGAATGTGACCTGCAACAAGGTGCAAAGGCCGGAGACAAAGAAAGTGGTGTTAATGAGCCAACTGGTGGTGAGGCTGTCATGCTGCAGACACAGCCCCTCTGAGATGATGAGAGGTACGGCGATGTTTGCACCAAATGCTATCAGGTAGTGCTGCAGGATGGCAGAGACGGCAATGTGACGAACGTACTGACAATGAATACAACACCGACCACAACACGTTTCTCACAAAGTGCCCACATGCATTGTTGAAAAAACAAAGGAGTCTGAGAAGTGGAGCTGCAGCTTGATTACAAATGCAGAACCCCGTGAGGAAGTTGCCATAGAGCAGGCACTGGACACACCATCCATCTGTTTGCTGTATTAAATCTATACTATGACCAGTGCACTGTGTGGCTTCCCTTAGGTCACTGCTGTCGGAGCCAGGTGGTGACAAGCCATCCATCCGTTTGAGCTTATCAGCACCACACAGTCTGCCCAAGAACACCCTCTCATATTAGCCACATGTTAAAACAAAACAAAAAAAAAGGCAGTAAAAGGTGAACGTTTTCAAAAGGCTGCCTTTGCTGTTTCTGTTCTATGCCCAGTTTATCTTTCTCCATTTGCATCAGTTCTTTTTGCTGCTACTGCAGGAGAGAACACACACTTTCACACTATCACAATACACCGTTCTCTATTAAAGCAGCCGTCCATAAACTTACTGGCACACGTGGTCAGCCAGGTAAAAGAGTGAGCAATGATCTGAGGCCTGCTTTATGGCATCATGCTGCAGCTTCCTCAAATGTTCTGCATTGTAATTACTCCCATGCTCCCTTGACACAGGAAATGTTATTCTCAACTTGCCTTTTTTTTCATCATTTTTCACATTAAACTACTCTACTGTGGATTCAACATTTTTAAAAAAATCCAATAAAATAGATCAATCCTCACCTGTATGGCCAGGAAAATACACAAATACCAGGGCGGAACATCTGTTACAGAATATGCAGGTTTATGTCTGTCATCTTCTGTTTCACATCTGCTGTCTGTCACATTGCCATCATGGAGATCATGAACCTCATCCATCTGTCGTGTCACACAAATCAATGCAAAACTGGTAAACATCTTAAAGATGTTTTTTTTTTCAAATCAGAGAAATACTTTCTGTAGTATTTTAATACGGTTGATGTGTTAGCATTTGAGTCCAAGTACGATCTGATACCTACATCCATACTTTGAATTCCATTTCCACTGTTTCGCTTTGCTGAAGCCATCGTGTCTCTTAAGAATCTCTGACTACAAGTAAAATGAAAAAGACTGAAAGTAAAAACAAAAGTCGGTCAACACCCTAGTAAGGAGGAGTCATCATCTGTCCAATAAGAAACTATTTATGTCTGTTACCCAGCGATTTGTAAATGTGTCACAAAACATGAAGGAACTGAATGTAGACCACTGTTTGCACTTCATTTTCAGTGTAAACCAGTGGCTGTGGAGGTCTTTGGAACTCTGTACTTTAGTGATTTGTTTCTTTTTAATGTAGATATTGTTCATAATTTGCCTCTGACAAACATTAACGTTTTTTTCTCTTAAAGGGGTAAATAAATAAACATTAAAAATATGACTCCAGCTCACCTAATATGGTGATAATGTAACGGTTCTGCACGTCCACTCATCTCAAGCTAATCATTAACTCTCTGATAAAGCTTTCTTATCATTTGGAAATCATTACCAAACAGGGAGAAATTAGGAAATGTAAATGTAAAATGTGCAATGCCAGCTTTTATACACATAAAGATAAAAGTGTCACTCCTCCTAAATTTCCTGTATGCTTCATCGGGACAACTGATGAAGCACATTGTGAAATAACGGTCAACTGCGAAAGTCAGAAAATAGTTATAAAAGGAAGAAAAATAGCAGTTCCAGTAAAGTGAGAGAAAGGGGAAACTGGGAAATTTCCACTCAGGAAATTAAGTAATGTATTTTTTTGAGACGATGATTACGTTTTTCTACAACCTGAATTTATAATGGAAAGTAATACGGATCAACAGTGTTACAGCTGTGTTGACTTAACCATTTTACATGTACACATGATATTCCTTTCCTTGTGCAAATACATTTAAACAATAATCCAGAACGGTTTTCACCGGCTGTGTACTGAAGATGGTCTCGTTGCAAACGCAGGGGATAAAAACAGCAGAGAACAATGACACAGAACATAAAGCAGCTGCGCGTGTGGAAAAACTCATCGCCTCTCACTATTGCACCCAGGAGACTGAGGAGCAAAAAGTAGGAAATGCGGCAGAATCATACAGTAGACTGTAGCTTTTATCTCTTTATTTTGTGGGAAATAAAACAAGTTGAAAAGTCTCGCCTGAGTGATTCAGGCCAGAGGAAACCAGTTTTGCCTGAGGAGATGATTCACATCAGACACGTGTGTCTCTTGACCTTACAGCCTCAGCTCAACAGAACCAGGTTAAAGGTTAAATGGCACTTTGGCACAGGCCTGACCTTTTCAAAGCAAACAAGTCAGCACCACTGTGTTCAAAAGTGAGTTGACATTATTAAATCTAGTGGCCAATTTAATCTTACAACCATTTTTTGTTTATTCCCACTCAACTTGTGACAATATTGTTGCATTGGATTCACTGCTCCTACATATCTCCTTCTGTCTGAGTCTGTAAAGGATATATTGAAATTCTGGCGTTACTTCAGCGTCTCTAAGAAGTTTTATTTATTGTGACTTAGCCTAACCTTTAATCACGTGATCTCCTAGGAATATGTTATAGCTTAATCTCATTCAGACCTGCTGCTGCCTAAATCTTGAATCAATGTTGCCTGACATTATCGATACTGTGGGCATACTTTAAATTAGTGTCAGTTTAGCCACAGAGCTGAAGGTCAGAGTGACAACGATGCTTCAGGCATCGAGTCAATTGCCTTCAATGATACGTCAAACAAGGGCTCCAAGGTAATCACTTTACTGTGTCCTGGAGAGTAGTTATTTACAGTTACCTTTCTCTGGACACTGCACATTTTGCATCATGTGAAAAAAAAAACCACAGGCCATTTTGGTTTAACAGCCATCTGTTTGAGCAGTCTTTACTGAAGCGTTTTACACTCTAATGAGCAATGAAGATGTGCAGAGAACGACGTTGAAGTAGTTAATCAATAACTGCATGAAAGACTTTCCCTGGACACAGGGTGTTTCTCCTCAGCAGCAGTGATGTAGAAAGTCTGCAGAAATGACAAGTGATTTTACTGAGAAATCATAAAGTCAGTGTATTAAACTCACACAGATGCTTGTGTTTCTGCACTGTCTGAGATAAAAGTACATGTTAACTTGATGAAACACTAAAAAAGAATGTCTAAAAGGTTACATCACCACTATTATTTAGGGAAAAAACACAGTCTGTAAAGATCTGCCCGGGAGCAATGGGACATAAAATGCGTGATCTATATGCACAACAGCTGGAACACAGCACACAATAAAGCTCAATAGAAAACTGAATTGAGCCTGGGCTCAGACTTTACTGCATGGTGTTATGGATCCCGAGGAAAATATGTATTGATCTCCTCCTTTTCACAACTCCACCTCGCCTCAGCCGATGGAGAGTGTGCGATTGAGCTACTTTGCATTAAATGCTTCAAAATCAATGGCCATGATGAGAGGCCCACGGAGGACAGCGTATGCAGCAGAGTTGGCCAATTAAATTTTCATTCACTGCAGAGGTTTGGTACAAAAGGTTGGTGTGAGCATCCTTGGATGTGAAGCAGCGTATCTTTTATTATGTTCCGGGTAATAAAATATGAATGAGGAACAGACAAATCTCCCAAATAAGCTGTGTCTGAAAACCCTTATTATGATTATGGAAATAAATTAATACTAGTCCCGCTAAATTAGTTTCAGTAGTCGTATGGTGATGGAGACCTGAGTGAAGATTAACATGCATTCTAAGGTCATGTCCAGTATCAGGATTTATGTTTCAACTGTATCATGTGTTTTTCATTTTGCCATAAAACTCTGCTCTGTATATCTCACCCATTAATTCAATAGAGATTGTAGTATTGCTCTTAGAAATAAAGAAAACAACAACGAATAGTTAGGGCAGTTAGAACTACTTTTCTGAATAAGATAATAAGGTAATACAGATTTAGGATAAGGTTTCTGTAGCCCATGCTAATGTTAGCTATAGTTTGGCAAACTATTTCACTCATAGTTATTGATATTTCTTTTGACAGTCAGGGCTTTAGTGAAAGTATAGACATCTGTATGTGAAACAAATGAAAAGAAGCAGATTCAGATGATTTTATTATGGAGCTTTAATCACAGTTGTTGACTAAAACAGAAACAGCCGTAGGAGAGTTAACTGTAACACCAGTGTGAAGTTGTGGAAGACGGTTTGAAGTAACACTCTGTACATCGTGGCATCACTGAGTGACAATACCAGTGGTCGTACTGTACCGCAGCAGCGAGTTTTCTCCCTGATAAATATTTCAAAGCAGACTCAGGATGATCATTTTTATTCTATATAGTATATAGTAGACACTGCATTCAACCAATGGGCAATTTAGGAAAATAATTCAAATTGACTCATATATACTGTATAACACGTGTATAGGAAAATATGATGATACATTTAAAACACTGATTAACCAACAACTATATCCTGGGTGATCTGATAAATATCCAGCCATTAACACGGCTCTTCATTACTGGGAAACATCTTAATGGGTTTATTACATATGCTGATTCTGTGATCCTGTACTATCCATCACCATAACACAGCTCTCCAGTCGACTGTTGGATCGTCTCCCTAAATATATTAAACAAATTCCCTGCTTGGTTCAAACTGTCCACCACCGCAATGACACTGTTTGGAACTGATTTATTCTGACAACACCAACACAGATGCTGAGGTAACTGGACTAAAATACATCACTGATCTTTGGATAGACTCACAACATGCACCATATGTATATGTGCTATTGAAGCACTGTAGTGTAGATAAGTACTGCGGTCTGCTCCATGCAGTGACTAGAGCCTCTGACTGACTATTTGACTATTTCCTGAGAATAATATAATATTGGAGTTATCCAAGTACTAAATGAATTTTAACCGTTTTACTAAAACACAGCAGTATATTCAAATTTATCTTTCAGTGTTTTTACTATGGGTAACTGCAGGAAACGTCTCTCCAGGGTATCTTAAATTTTGGGTTTGAATCCTATTTGAAACAAGTGATGAGAGCTCTTTCCTCAGTCTACTTGCAAATATAATTACTATAGAAATTCAAATGAGATTTCACTCATTTGTCTGTTAATTAGGATCATTCATATTCAAAGGCTTTCATCGTTGAATATAGTATTAAGAAAGGAAGCTGCTTCAACATCATGGTAATAACATTTCCTCCCTCTCTGACCACCTGTCTGATTATTGCAGTTCCCTAAGCAGTCTTAGCATAATCACCGAATCAATTGGTTTATGCAAATTACCACAGTAAATTAATGTACAAAATGTTTGTTCAGCAGCTTTAAAAAGTGAGAAGTGAATGAATTAGTGTTCACTGAGGTGTCCAACATGAGGTGTGGCTGTGAGGGTGTACGTCTGACAAAGGTGGAGGACAGAGACAGAATTAGAAGCTTTTTGACTGACAACTGCATTGATGGTGCAAATAAAAGTGTTGGTTTCATTCACTGTTATGTTTTATCACTGTTATTGTTCACTAAGGTTATTTTTAACATCCCACTATTTATAGACATTTTTAGAGTGGGTCTATTTAATGTACAAAACCAGATAAACAGCCGATAAATTCACAGATCAGTAGATTCACTAAATCACATTTGAGCGGAAGAGGTTAATCTTTTATAAACTTTACACCAAACATTATCTTTCTGTTCCTCCACCAATCAGAACTGTCAGTAACAGCTTGTCAGCTTTTGTCTTGTTGTTATTGTCGTGAGTTCGTTGTTATTTTTGTCATTTATTCGAAACTTTGTGCTTCATTCGTTTTGTTTCAGACCAGGACAGACACTTAAAAACGGACAGGTCAAAAATTCAGTTTTGTTTTTTAAGACTTTGTAAAACGATAAAAGCTCTCGTGGACAGGAATCAAACTGCTGATAGAAGATTTGAGGTCAGTCCATTCACCTCAGACTCTGGAACTTTTCTGTCAGGTTTTTCACTATGCTTTGCGGACCCTCATCAGTACTCTGCTCATCTTCTGGAACCTTCTCACTTGTCTCGTTGTTCTCCCATGTTTTTGGAGACCCAGCAGTCTTGTCGGGTTCTTGAGGTCTCACTGATTCAGGGTTTGTTCTTAGCTTGTATTCATCAGAGTCCTGATAAATCCTGCAGCGGTCGATGACAGCCATAATGGAGATCTTCTCCCTGCTGGTTGGAGAATGGATCTCCACGTAACCACCATTGTCTTTTTCTTGATCTTCAGATTTGATGTCTACCTCAGTGGACTCTGACTCGGTTTCTGGAATTTTCTCCATGACGATGATCTTGTGATCAGGATCTTCAGTCAACAGTGCTTCAGCTGCAATAAAGAAACCTCCGTAGCTGTTTTTCACGCCCTGATCTTGGCACCTTTGCAGGTCTAGAGAACTGGCTCGTTGGATCTGTTTTTCAGCCTCTTTCTGGTCACCAGAAGACCTCAGAGGTCCACACAGGCAGCTGGAGTGCCTCCTCATACCTCTCTCCAACATCTGCTCCACAGGTCTCTGATGTTCCCAATATTTGGAACGCAACTGTCGAACATCAGGCCAGGTAAAGTCTTCCTTTGTTGGAGGAGGACTGAGGAGACCACGGGGGCAGGTCTGGCCTGAGGGCTCCAAGATTGGAGGGGAGGCCCGGCCTTCAGGACTTGATGGTGGAACAGAGATCTGGTGCATCAGACTAGGATTTTGTTTTCCTGCAAAAAAACAATCTGTTAATTAAATACTTTTTATGTTCTATAAAAAATAACAAATTAATACATGATGAAAAATAGAAAACAAATACTGAATGATTTGTAATCCAAGTGAATGAATAAATTCAGTAATTTCTGCTACAGCCTGCTGTAGTCCGTACCTGAAGATTCCGCCTCCTCCATCACACAGGGCAGAACCATTTTTCGAGGTCGCACTAAAGACTTAGTGGTTTTGATTTTCTGGCTATACTTTCGAGCCAGGTGCTGGACTTTGCTCATCCTCAGGTCTAAGTCTTTGTCATTTGAGACCTCCTCTGGTCGACTTCCTCCTGCTACCTTCAGTTGATCCACTTGAGAGACTGGCTCCCTGAGGACCTCTGAGCTTTCTTCCACACCTGAGGATTTGGACTCCTTTGTAGTGGATTTAATGTCAGACACTTCCTTTATTGGGTCACAGGTCTTCTTTGGAATTTTGTTAGAATCCGAAAGGGGAAGGTCTGGTCCTCTTACAATCCGCGGGGTGTCCAGTCGCTGTGTTCCAATAATCTCTTGCTCCATTGTCTGCCAGATCTTGATCATTTCAGATGAGGGTCTGAACTCTTCATCCAAAGGTGGATTCTCCTGACACGAGAACATCAGATCTTCTGTGTTATTCTTTGGGTGGTTATCTGTCTGAGTGGAACTGGAAAAGTCGAGCACTCCACCAGAGACCGTGGCATCTTCAGTTAAAGCTGGAGTGGTTTTAATGGAGGCCTGCTGAAGAGTGGTGAAAACCGGTTCATCTTTTGGGATGCTGTTGAGTCGGCTGATTGAACTCCTGACCAGCCCGACTGGGATGTAGGTCAGACTCTCTCTACGCTGCAGTTTGAAGCTAGCATCCTGGTTCTCTGCGTTCTCGTAGTAGCTCTTGATCTTGTTAATAAGCAACTTGTCTTGTTTGGATAGAATGGAGTCCCGCCTCTGGCAAAGTCCATTGTTGACATCAGAAAGCTTGTCATCTCGAGGGGACACCACGGCAGATTCGGCTGTGGAAAAAGCCTCGGACAGATCCGAACAGATGCAGTCCAGTCCAGAGGTCTGGTCTTCCCGTTTAGTGCTGAGGCGATAGCTTCTGCCTGTCCAGCCAGGTGACCGTGGTGAGAGAGACTGGGCACGGTCCAGATCCACACCACCTCTGCTGCTGCTGAAGTGCTCTGCAATGGCACTAGATCTGTCAAGAACTGAGGAGGGCAGAATCCTGCTGGGTTCTGGTTCCTTCTCCTCATCATCTTCCTCTGAATACTCCTCACTGCTCTGGGTCTTTGGTTCTGGATCTGACACTGCAGACGGTTCTTCATCCCTGGACTCAGTATTTTCTTCGAGCTCCATTTCCTCACATTCGGGAGGAGATGTTGAGGTCACAGGAACATCTGGTTTGGGGGAGGACTTTGGTTCAGAGTTTTCTGTGGGTTCAGATTCTGAGGTTGTCTTCTGGACCTACAAAAAACAGGTATTTAGCAAAAATTAGAACCCTAGTTTAGATGTTATTTTATTTGTTTGACAACAGCTTAGTTAATATTTACACAGTTTTGGATTGTCAGACCTTTGACCACTGTAAGCTCTGAAGATGCTGACACTCATTTGCTTTAATATAAACATCCCTTAACAGAAATAACAGAAATAAGAGTTTGTTCACCTGCCCAGATTCCTGTTCACTTCTTCCCTTATCGTCTTCTTCTTTTTCTTCAAGATGTTGTGAATCCAAACGGGAAATTATGCCCCCTTCTCTTTGCTTTGAAACAAAAAGCAAACATTTTAAAATGATTGAATTTGTGCTGTATAGAATTTGGTACATATAGTGTGTACCAATGTTAGTAACCAGTGGTTGTAAAGAAGCTCAAATGAGCAGGAAAGAGGCTAACATATTACCTAATGTTAGCATGTTAGCAGTTAAGAAGACAACACCCAACACCCGCTACAATTTAAAGTAAAAAAGCAAATTGTAGGCAAAAAAGAAGCTAATTGTTAGCAGAACATAAATCACAGCGAATGTCATAGTTACTCATCAGTCATTGGTTTATATGCCTGTGACATGCTCAGTAGGATCAGTCAAAGTAAATCCAAGTCAGAACCAGAATCAGTTTCAGGATAAGTTCTAAAAAATAATTCTGTTCCTTCAAGACCCTAGACCTGAACCTTGTCCTGAAGCTGAGCTGTTGTTAATCAGCAGGGCAGCAGGGGGTGCCCTTATCTGCAGCAGGAAACCTCACCGTCACCAAACTGGACTCAAAGATCTGAACCCTGAGGGACCAGAAGGAGATGGAGGCCAGAACTGAGCTGGTGAAGTCCTCTACCTGATGGTCCTCCAGCAGGACCTCGTCAATGTCTTGTTCTTCAATCTGATGGGGGTCCTCTACCTGCTCCTCCTGAATTTGGACCAGGTCCTTCAGGAGATCCTGAATTCTACCAGACTCCTCGTCTCCAGATTGATCCCTGACTGGACCCTCTGGGCTGCTATAGCTGATATCAGCCTGCAGGGGGTGTTCAAGCGTCCATAAAACCCCAGGCCTGACTGTGTTCTGCACAATTTCTTAAAACCTTAACCTCACGGGAACAAATGAGCTACTAGAGAATGTTGTGTTGTTAATCTCAGGAGGAACTAAGACCAGGTTAGAGACCCACGCTGACGCTTAGGTCTTCAGATTCTACAGCGAAAGCTGAACTTACCTTCAACGGGACTGAAGTGCAGAACATTGACCACAGAAGACAAAATAAAAAGAGAAAAATATATTTTACACATAATTGTCCAATCACATTTGATATTTATACACAGACATCTAAAAAAAAGTTGAAAACCATACCTTTGGCCTGAGAAGTGGGTGTCGGCCTGTTTGGCTCTAGTTGGAACAAAAACAAAGCAACTTCAAAACTGAAAGGTAGAGAAGGCAGTTTGAGCAAAAAAAGTTGTGATCTAACTGGGGGTAATCACCTGACCGGCGAAATCCACGATTTTTACGGCGAAACTCTTTCTTCAGGCGATCAGGACTGTAGTGGTATCGGTTAGTATCTGTGAAGAGTGGGACGGAAAAAGACACAGCTGCAGCCACGTTAAAAACTGTTTACCTAAAGCATTTACATCTTCAATGAAAATTAACAAATTTGTTTACTCACGCATCTGATCCATTTCTAGGATGGCATCTTTTGCCTGACAAAAGATGAAATGCATGTTTACACAGGTTTATGGCATTAAACTGGACTATGCTGTAAACCTGTATAGTATTATTTTAAACTGGTAATTATCGGATTAAAGAGTATTAAACAGTATTAAACAAAAAATAGTTTGAACCAGGGATGCTACAATTTAGAAGTGTGTAATTAAATAGAATATTTAACTTCATAAAATAATTCCTGAAACATTTCACAGGGATTTGAGATTTTATTCTGTGACGCTATTCAAGTTCTGGCTTTCTGTACATTTTTTTCTAACAATTTACATTTGTTTGCGTGACCTTTTAAACATGGTTCTTTGAAGCTGTTTTTTTTTTCCTTTTCTTATCTGTAAAAAATCTGACAGTGAGAGAACCACACCTTAAATTCCAATGAGCCTGCACTGCGTGTCAGCACTTGTGCAAATGGCTGTAAAGGCTGAAGTCTAAAGTCATCATATCCAAACCAGGTAAAACTAAAATAAAGTTTAACTTGGATTAAAATTGATAACAGTAGATTATATTAAATCCAACGATTATAAACTAAATATAACTTAATTATATTAGATTGAGCAAAGTTGAAACAGTATTACCCAGGCCACACTGGTTATTATACTGGTTACTACTAGTAAACATTGGTTAAAAAACTGAATATGAAAAAACTGAAAATAAATAACCAGTCAGAACTGAATCCAACTGGCTAAAACTGGCTGCTAACCTTCTGTGGGATTATGGCCTGGTGATTTTCTAGAATAATGCGTTTGATGTGATGGGCCCACAGTTTCTTCTCTTCCACAGTTTTCGCCTGTTTGAAATGAACAGCAAATTAAATCCAGATTTATTTTTGATCCACTCTGTAAAACTGTTAAAATTTCTCCAACAAGGTTGAGTTTATGGTCTCACCTGGACAGTGTGGGGCTGTTTGGGATGTTTGTAGTGTGTGACGCTGAAACTCAGAGAATCTTTGGCGCTTTCGATCAACATCAGGGTGGAGCACTGAAAGCAGGAAGCAGTACATCAACTCAGGGTCGTTTCAAGTCAAAGTACTTCAGGTTTCAACGTCCTAGTGTTTGTGGTTCCTCACAGAGATGTGGGCCTTGTAGACATAGTGTTCTCCGCGGTGCTTGGTGATGAGCAGCATGCGGTCGAAGAGGAAGAGTGTTCTCTCGGTTTTGGCTCGATGAACTTTGAATGTTCCCTCCAGAACCAGTTCTCCAAAGGTGGTGAGATCCGGACCTTTCCAGTTCAGGAGCAAAGACTGGACCTCCTGCAGAAGCAGAGCTTCAGTTCTGCTCTGAAATATTCCAAACATTAGTCCGTGAGAGAAGCCGTTACCTACCTGCAACCTGATGGAGTGTTCATGTTTCCTCTTCATGTCGTTAATGTACCAGGCCACACCAGTCATGGTCCAGATGGCCTCCTGGACCACCTCCAAACCCTCCTCCTCCTGAGGGTCAAAGTGCTTCGCTATCTCCTGCAGAATAACCCCAATAACATCAAACCCCAGGTTTGCACATTTGCAAAATAACCTAGCACAGTTCTGGGCCAGGTTCTCACTTGAAGTAGCAGGTGGTACTTCAGGATCCTCTGTACTGGTTTCAGCAAGAAGGAACCGAGGGGCAGTGAGCACTTTAGCTGAGCCTGACGTTCTCTGAAGAACTTAGCCAAGGACTGGTTCCTCATGCACTCTGTCAGTGTTGCCACAGAACTGGGACAAGTCAGACACACATACAAAGAGGTGTGAACAGGGTACAGTTAACTGCTAAAAATGAATGAGGACGGTTCGATCAAGTGTGAATCTATCATGAAGTAGCCGTAGTGAGGACCTACTTGGGGTAATTGGTGCAGTATTGAGTGTAAACCTCAAAATATTCACTCTGAAACACACAAAAAAACAGGCTTAGTGAAGGTGTCTTCAAAATAAAACATCATTAAAAATGATTTTCACTAGTGAAATTAATGTTAAATATTACTGCACAATTATTTTGTTGCAAGAGTATAACTAGTTGTTACCTTTGTAACAAAGCAGTGAGCGATAGCAACTGGGTCTTTGTGGCACTGATCCATATCCTGGAGCAGCTCACTGTGGACAGGAAACAAACATGCAGCCATTAGACAGACACGTGATCAGCTGATAAATACTATGTGGCAGGAAGTGAAGATGGCACATTGCTGTTGAACAAAAAAAAAAAAAATCTACTTCAAGCATGCAGTCAAGTCAAACATTACAATGAAACAGGCAGAAGCCCTTATTTCACTAGTGTCAACATTATAAATACAAACAAAAAAACAACACTTTTACTTTTTCCATCATTTAGGGAAATCAGTCAACAGGATTTCACACCAAACAGGCAAAAGAAAAAAACATTTTTCCTGTTGTTTTATTTAGCTTGTTTTTTTTTAGTTGAATCCACAGCAAACCAGTCCACACTCTACAAACATTTTGGTGTAAAACCAACTCACCTGACAACAGAGATTCGCTGGGCTAACAACGAGATTAACAGTGAAACTATCACTAAAAGAAACTAGAATGGGAACTTTGCAAATAGGTATTTTTTATCTTCTTTTCTTACCTGTTAAATTCATAAATGTCCTCGATGTTTCCGAACAGAAAACAAACCTGTTCAGGACGAATCAGCAAACCAGAGTGCTCGATGATGTAGGCCAGATAATCCTGAGGAAAAACACACACTCAGTTTAGGTCAATTCATATTTTTACATTAACATTAACTTCTATTATTTTTATATATTTTTGATTTACCATATAGCTATATTAACAATTTAAAACATTTAATTTTAAAACATACTGTATTGTTTTCAGTTTATATATATATATATATATATATATATATATATATATATGTGTGTGTGTTCCCCCACACACATCTGCACATCTCTCAGATAT